CTGTGTGTATGAAGCGAGAAGTTGCGAGCATGCTGCAACAACGACAGATAGATCTATAAGGAGGTCAGTTATTCGCTTTGGTTTTCCTATTTAATGTGCGGATTGCTATTCTAGCAAGCGTTTGCAGGAGCAGCGATTGTGACTGCCGGCGATGTAAATCCGCGCGAACGAACGGCGGAAAAGAAAGGAAAAAAAAAAAGAAAAAGAAAAAAGAATCTTGGATATCGTGCATCCCTGAAGTCTGCATGGGGTTGCATTCAGCACACGCGCCGAACGGGAAGACTTTTTTATGGGTTATCGTTGCTTTTCACCGTGGCGAGGGAACTTTTATGCGTACGTGCGGATCGCGGGAGAGGAGAATCTCGCGTTAACGTTTTATGCAGCCTTGCGCAAATGAAGCTCGCGATGAAGGCGCTATGCACACAGCGGGGAAAGGGGAAATGAGGAGGGCGAGAAGGGGGAGGGGGGGAGAGAGGCAGAGTAACACCAACACAGTGGATAACGACAGAGCGACAACGGCGATAACGATAAAAGAAAATGATAATGGCAATGAGGAACGGTGAATAGACTCATATCAAGAATAGTAATGATAGTAAACAGCAACGCGTGATAACAACAGTAACGATGGTCAATAAACGACAGCAATAAGTACTGATGAACTCGTGACTTTCGCGTGCCTCCGAGACACTCGGCTTTTTAAAGATAATAACAAGAGCTTCACGTTTCTAAGCGGTGAAGAAATAAGGAAGCCTGGAGGAGAATCGATTTATTACGTAACTTGCGGCTCAGATATCCCAGCGGCTGCCATCGAGGCTTATGTACCATCCGTTCGCCCGTTCGAAGTAGTTCGAGTATCGGGAAGGCGGTCGGAAGAGTTCAGGTATAAACAGGTTGCGAGTAAGTAGTAAACGTACGTATCGATCCCCACGAGAGCCTCTTGATAATAGTGAAGAAAGGTGCCAGTGAGTAGTAGACAGTAGTGGAATGGTAGTAGAGCTCTACAAAAAGGCGAAAAGTTTGACATACGAGCTTGCTTGACAGTTCGCTTAAGAAGAGAGAAAAAAAAAAAAGAAAAAGAAAAACAAAAGTCGCTTAAAGAGATCCTGTGAGACAGCAAAAGGAAAGGCGACACAATCGCAGAAGAAGAAAAAAAAAACGAGAAAAAAATTATATAGAATTAACGAGAGACTTAATATCGTTCAATTTGTACTTGATCTTTACTTGCCTCGTTAACGTTCTCACGATTTTTCTCATTGTCTTTTCTTTTCCCCTCTTTTTC